AGTGCACACAGAAAAATATTATTCTATTGCTAAGTAAAATAATTATTCAGTTTACTTTACCTGTTTTAAGTAACAGTTATCTTTAACAAAGAATATTTTCTTAATAATAGTCTTAAAATAGACTTGTCACAAATTTTAGAAATACTCATTATCATGTACTCAAAAAAGTAAATATTTTCTTTTGAAGAATATTATAAAATTTTATCGAAGAAAAGTCAGATATGGTTAATTTAATGTAAGAAAATTTATTAGATCAGAAAAATTTAATGTATTTCTTTCAATTTTATAATTTAATATTCTTGATTGAAGTATTAAATTTACTAGGATTCAGAATACATTTTGAATAAATTTGATGCTTATGATGAACTTATGATAGATTTGCGAATATATAAACTTTTGAAATACTTGAAACAAGTAATATTTACTTATATATAGTATGTATCTTTTTGTGTATGACAATTTCCGGCCAGAAATGTTTCCCCGCTGCCTGAAGTTATAACCTCTAACAATATAAGCTTTAAGCGAGCTAGCCAGATTCCAGCTTTTGAAACTTACGACTTAAAACTTCCACCGACCCATATAATTCTAAAGGCTTATTACACCTATTATATAAACCCGACCTAACAAGTCACACCCCAGACAGCACAAAACGTCCTCAGGATCATACTGAATATGTCCAGGATGGTTCAGGATATTTGTAGGATGTTTTAAGATATTATTATAAATATATTTTCCTATAGAAATCTTTAAGATGTTCCACAGGATCTCCCTGGATTCTCTAGAGGCTAGTGTACGGCTATCATTTATTCTTCCTCAGGACATCCAGAGGAGATCCGAGGATTAAAATAGGATATCCTCAGGATATCCTACATGTATGTCCTGGATGCCCTTTGGACGTCCTAAGGACATCCTTGTGCTGTCTGGGACGGATTGTCACGCAAATCCGATTGAATATATCCAAATATATACGACGCAATAATAGGATCCAGAAATTCGCGGAAATATTCCATCGGTCGCGAACCTTGCTCTTCTCTCGTCCCCCGTAGCTTCCCTACCCCTCTTATCTTTGCATCAAACGCGGCTGACAATAAGACGCGGCGCGAGCGCGCTGCGAGCGCATTCGCTCGCGAGAGCTCGGCTGTGTACAGTGACACGTGTCGCGCCACGTGACCACGCGATCAGACACGAGCGACGACGAGCACGAGTAACCTCGCGCTGACCGACCGGCCGACTTACGGAACGGAAGACGAGCTTCAAAGCACGCAATCGAAAGTCATTCGACGACGGCGGCGAACGACCGGAATTTTCACCGAGCTCCGAGTTTCACTTCTAACCTGAATACGACGGCGTCCGCGCGCGCGCTTGTGTGCGTCTCCTCATACCAACCGACGACTTGGCCAGCGAAGGATTATATACGTACGTACGTGATTTGAAACATCGCAGAAACTGTCCGATTCCGTTTGGAATTTGTGTGTTGTGTACGTAAAACGCAACGATTAATTCAAGTTATATTCGACAGGCACTCGCCCTTTAAAGGTGATTACATAAACCTCCTCCCAAGGAAGAGAGAGACATCGTTTCCCGAGGATCCATCAACCTGAGCATTCAACCGACATGTGGCCGAAGGACGTTGGCATTCGGGCGCTGGAGGTGTACTTCCCGGCGCAGTACGTGGAGCAGACGGAGCTGGAGGCATATGATGGCGTTTCCGCGGGCAAGTACACGATAGGTCTCGGCCAGTCGCGGATGGGTTTCTGTAACGATCGGGAGGACATCAACTCGTTGTGCCTGACCGTGACGCACCGGCTGCTGGAGCGTCATGGAATCGAGCCGCGTGACATCGGTAGACTGGAGGTAGGCACCGAGACGATCCTCGATAAGAGCAAGTCGGTCAAGTCCGTGCTGATGCAGCTGTTTGAACCGCACGGCTGCACCGACATCGAGGGCGCGGACACCACCAACGCCTGCTACGGCGGCACCGCCGCTCTCTTCAACGCCGTTGCCTGGATAGAGAGCAGCGCCTGGGACGGCAGACTCGCTCTGGTCATCGCGGCTGATAACGCCGTGTACGAGGCGGGCAGCGCTAGACCCACTGGAGGCGCGGGCGCGATCGCTATCCTGGTAGGTCCCAACGCGCCCCTCGTGTTTGACCGCGGTCTCCGTGCGTCTTGTATGCGACACGCATACGACTTCTACAAGCCAGATCTGCGATCTGAGTATCCGGTTGTAGACGGCAAGCTATCGATTCAGTGCTACTTGAGCGCCCTAGATAGCTGTTACCAGCAGTACTGCGATAAGGTCAGGCAGAAGGATCCCGCTGGCGATCCCGTAACATTGGCCAGCTTCGACGCGTTCCTCTTTCACTCGCCCTACTGCAAACTCGTGCAGAAATCCTTCGCCCGACTGGCCTTCGTTGATTTTCTCAACACGCCGAAGGATCGGCTCTGCGACCGCTACAAGGACGCGGCGAGCTTCCACGCCGCCAAACTCGAGGACACCTACTTCGATCGGGGCATCGAGAAAGTCTTCATGCAACTGAGTAAGGCGGATTTTGAGCGAAAGACTCGACCCAGTCTGTTGATAGCGAATCAAGTCGGAAATATGTACACACCGTCCGTCTACTCCAGTTTAGTGTCGTTACTTGTATCGAAACCGATAAGTGAATTGGCCGGCAACAAGATCGGCGTGTTCTCATACGGGTCGGGTCTCTGCTCCAGCATGTACTCGTTGACGGTGACGAGAGACACGCGGCACGGTTCTGACCTGTCCAAGATCATCACCGCTCTCTCTTATGTTAAACCGCAATTGGAAGGACGTCACTGCGTCTCCCCGGCAGACTACACCAGGGTCTTGGCATCGAGGGAACACAATTGTCACGTTGTGCCATTCACCCCGGAGAATAGTATAGACGACATGTTTCCGGGAACGTATTACTTGACCCAGGTGGACGAAAAATACAGGAGGACTTATAAGAGAGTATGAAAACGGCGTATTAGACTTCAAGGTTTAGGATTATTTATAGTCAATTTTCTTCCCAAAATGTGTAAAATGAAAGGCACCAAGTTTTACTTGACTGTACAACTTGTAATTGCTGTAACAGCAATCCTATAATATTGGTGGATGAGAAACGCCGTCGTATCAAAAATTCATCGAATCTGAGTCTTCCTGACAATTACTTTTTCTTCTTCTATATACATCTTAATATATTATTTTTTTATCACACATTAAAAAATGCGAATCTATTATTTAATACGATTCACAAGAGAAGAGTGCAATACATGATACAATAGCAATCGATCATGTAATATTCTTTACGAATATAATTAACGCAGAATATATATGTCGCGTGGAACAAGTCGTTAATAAAAGAATTTCTTAGGCGTGGGTTTATGTAATTTTCATGAAAAACATTTCGAGAAAGAACATTATCCGCTCATCTTGTTCGCTAATTTACGCAGAATCAAACTTTTACTCAATGTCAACGTTCCTTACATCGTCAATTACGCGAATATGCTTTCAAATATAATCTATACAATTCAAATATAATCTATAATAAGCCGAAGCTTATTTATCATGTTGTAGTTTGTTAACACTTATGTTTTTATAAATCAATGATATATTTGCATTGACATAGAAAGCAGCATTGCGCAAAGTGCCTTATACAGATTATTCTTACATATAATAAAGAAAAAAGATTCAAGAAATTTTTTATACATTTATGTGCTCGAATGCTATTTTCAGCTCCTTTAAGGATATACATGTATAAATGTATAAGTAAGTAAGCTGGTAGAGCAGAAATGTTATATAAAAATCCTGGCTTATGATATTTAAATTTTATAAATGATATTTAATTTAAATTTTAATAGATATATATATATATAATAATTAATTAAACGGAGATTATTTTTCCCGGTTTATATATCTATATATCAGTTTGTTGTTTATTTGCGATCAATCTTGTTAAGTATCTCTACACTATATTGAGCTGAATTATGTCTTCTCTACCTCGTTTTCCTTATTTTATACGCCTGTTGATTCTGCAATGAAATATTATCTTAACACAATAAAACCAAATAAATATGATTATTATAGTTAGTATTCTATACGCTGAGAATTTACACGATGCGCGCGTGTGTATACGGCCTTGTATTTACAATTTATGATGTATGGCCTTATAATGTTATTTATATACGTATGCGGTAGTCATATATAGTATGTCTGTTTATACTGAAATAAATACAATTATCTGAATTATTAATGTACGTTTTTATATCAGCCGAATGATAATTACTGCTAATTACCCTGAATGCAAAGGAATTGAGACTTTGGAATGAGACTCAGTGTAAATAAATAACAAAAATATTAATTTATGCTCTGCTCAAAAAAATATAAAAATCAGAAATTAGAATCTTACTGTGATAAATATCTTTTTAACATGCAATCTGTCGAGAATTATCGTTTATGTGTAAAATAATATAAATAATTTTTGTGGAATCAATCGCACAATGTTTATTAATATATGGCAAAGCTGAAGCTAATTAATTGATTGACAGCGATCAAGTTCTAAAAGATTTGCGACAAGTACAAAAAAAAAGCTTTATTTATTACGAATTATAAAACTTCAACAATGGCTGCGTTCGGAGAAGTATGCTACGCGTTAAAAACGTCGTTCTTTGTTATTTACTGAAAGTTGAACAAGGACAGAGCACGCTTATAACGCTAAAAGCGTGTTCCCCGAATGCAACCAGTATGATATACACAATGTTTTAAATGTACTAAGCGCAATATAATAAAGTTTGCTATGAAAATCGTACAACAAATTATTATACTGTATTACTATGTGTATTTTTTAATAAAAAATATATTTTCCAGTTGTATCATTTATATGTAATACAATAGAGTTTTAATTATATTTCGTATGACTGTTCTCTTTACACCATTACTTCGTATATTATTTCAGCGCAAAATTATAATATTAAGATATGATATAAATTTATATTTTACACAATATTCTTTTTTCGCACATAATTCAAATGATAATTTTATCTAATTAACAGTGCAATGAAAGAATGCTTGTTGTGTTTTAGAGAAATATTTTTATGTCATAGGACCTACACAATGAGAGAAAGAGATACATACACATTTATGCAAATTAATAAAGATCTTAAATTGTGAGAACACTTTTCGTACGTTTTTGGCAATGTTTACGCATAAGATAATGGAGATTTACATCCTCCTGGATTACGTACATCGAAATTACTTTTATATATAAAATAATAATTCTGATTAGCAACGAGTATTATAATACGCACATTCTCTTATGTGCAATATATATAAATATTTTGAAAAATTATTGTACAGTGGTTTGTATAAAAATATTGTTATTAGAGATTCGTTATATTTGTTCGTTCATTTATAACATAATTGCGTCCGAGACGTATTCTATATCTGCATTCTCAATGCGCTTTTAGCGCCAAGTGCATCATTTAAATTGATCAAAGGCTGAGAATGAGACAACTACCTCTCAGCGTGAAACACGAACTGAGAATGCGACTAAGGATTAATATTTACAGCCTCGTAATTCGAACGGGTGCTCGGCGACCGAGAAGTTAAATCTTCGCATTCGTCATAACACACATTCACGCGTATAAATAAATAAAATAAATAAAGAAAAGAATTGAGTCACCACTCACAATTTAAATCTCCCATAATCTTCTCGATTGCATTTCGCGTATATCTATCCGCTCATTATACGATAACAGGTGACGTTCACTACGAATTTTTAAGGCACAAGGATATCTAGGATTCCTTCAGGTCGCCACAGTATTTGTAAAGTATCAGTATGTATGTGCGTGTATATAAATTTGTACCTGTGTTTGTTAAATTAAATATAAAAATATACAAACGTGCTGTTGTTGGAACAATGAGTTTCTAGAGCAAAAATGAGCCACCTTATATTTTAAGAGTTATATCTTTATCGTGAGATTCGTATCCTTTGAGACTAGAAGAGCCAATGTCCATTCTATTCCATGCAAATAAAAATAGAATATCTTGAAAATTTGGCATATATTGTATATAAACTTTCTTTCTTTTATATTGATAGAATGACATTGATTGTTCTAGTTTCTGGAAATATATTAATTTATTGTGTATAGCTATAAATAAAATAAAAGGCAGTGAAATTTTTCTAAGAAGTCTACACTAATATTTTCTATATGTAAACTATCTTTTTTTATATTCTGATTCCTAATTTTTTAGTTTCTATTTTAAAAACAAAGTAAAATTTATATTGTAACAGAATTTATCAACAGATAATTATTCGTTTGTTAACTACCTTTTATTTTATCACTAGGACGTATGTTATTTCATGAATATCTGTCATTCAGAAACAATGCGCGTCGATGGAAAAAAAATATGAACGGTTCAAAATATTTTGTAGCCTGAACAGCCTGAACAAGAAGACAGATCTCGTCCGGCACCGAGTTTCACTACATCGTTCTCGCTCGCGCTAATCTGACGGTTATCGTGTCGTCTCTAAAAGTGTAATGTAGCCATAAATAAGAAAACAAAGATAATATATTTAATTTGTAACAAACTTATGTGAAAGATAGAGATTTACCTTAAGTTCAGATGCCAGATAGAAAAATATGGAATCTATATTTGTATTATCTTTGGCTGAGGTCTCCACTACGTGTACAACTTCAGGCAGATATTCACATAAAGCTTCGGCCTCTGCCTTCTCCACTTCCCGCAGATCTTCTAAGTCACACTTGTTACCTACAAAGCGAGAAATGCGCAATAATAATAACAGAGATATCATTACAGTATGTCAATATGTTGTAATGCATGTAAAATGATCATACCAACTAACACTAATAGTACATGTGAAGACGAATATCTCCGGACTTCTTCCACCCAACGTTGCAAACTTAAAAATGTTGATCGTTTTGTAATATCGTAAACTAAAATGTTCACAAAATATTTACTTTTAGAAAGATGACACATACTTTATTTTTCAATAACAGAGAAAAAGCCATACAAAAAGAAGAAAAAAACTGATAATTCTATCGCAAACAAAAATATATAATATGATTCTTATTAACTATTTATCAAAATAATTATCAAAAAAATTATATAAATTAATTTCTTTATAAAAATTAATAAAAAATACATATAAATGAGAAAATTATATATTTTGTCTGTGGCTATGTATTACGATCTGTTTACATACCTACAATTACCCCATTTGCACATCTATAGTAACTTTGAGTTATCGTTCGGAATCTTTCTTGTCCCGCAGTATCCCAAATTTGTAGCTGTCAATAACATATTAAACTTCAGTAATCATCATTGAATACAAGTAAAAACAAACAGAGCTATCGAGATTGTTTTATCTATGGAGAAGTTTATCAGATGTATGTTTCGTCAATTATAAAGATATTTCATGTAGAACATTGTAAGGTTGCAAGAAATAATTTTCTTTAATATTTCCAAAGCGATATATTAATATTGCTGAGGATTTTAAATTGAATTAAGAGTCTAAGATAAAATAATATAAGGTTTGTCTAAAAAAACCCATAGCTATTTGTCGCAGGGATTTCTGTTTACATAATTTAAAAACATTTTTTTTCATCTCTTTTTTAAAACAATAAAAAAATAGTAGAAACGTATTTAAAAGTGGAGTTAAAAAAGACAGTTCCAATGGCTCTGTTTGTTATTGTGCTAAATTGTTTTCTTTTTCCGCCAAAAAAACGCTGATACACATCCGTAAATTCGCATTTGAAACGAAAAAGAAAGCAATTAACAGATTCGTCAGATAACAGATCGTATCTGAGGATGATTCAAGGTTAAACTGGCGCCGCGAACGTCTCGCACCTTGACTCTCTTGCCGTCTATGAGCACGGTCTTCATGGTGAAGTCGACCCCGATGGTGTTGCCATGGCGTTCGACGAATGTGCCGGACCTGAAGCGCTGGACCACGCAGGTCTTGCCCGTGCCACAGTCACCGATCAGGACGATCTTGAACAGGTAGTCGAACCTCTCGTCATCGTCGCTCGTGCTCACCATCAGATTGTCGGGATCGCGACACGACATTCTCGCCAGGTCTCGCGCGATGACGACGACGATCACGGTGGACGGGCATTCGGGACTCTGCCACTTCGTCGCAGCTGACTCTCTACGTCGTCACTCGCCGTCTTCGCGAGCTTTCCTTCACCTAATTGCGTCTGATCGCGACCATCTTGGTCCATTTTTCCACCCCGCTGCGATAGCGTCGACGGCGAATCCTGGAACCGATGGCCCCTCTCCTTTCCTTTTTTTCCTCTTCTTGCTTTTTTTTTTTTTTTAATAATTTACATTTCACATATGTAAGTTTAGAACTTCTGAGAAAAGGACTTTTTCTCTCTCTTCTCGCTGTAGGCTTCTCAGAAATTATCAAAACAAAATAAATCTAACTAGTCATTCGTGGAATAATATATTATTAATAATATAATAACGGATGTATACAATAAAACTTGAATAATTAACTTCTCTCTTTTATCTCATAATGTGTTAGAACAAAGAGAAGTCATATATTTTATTGCACACGATACTTTCATTTTGCGCGTTATCATTGAAATGAATGAAAACTGAAGGAATAAAAAGATAAAAAATTATATGATCCCCTGAAGTTTATATTTAGATAGTTTTAATTTATGCAAAAAAAAAAATTTATTTCCTCTTCACATAAAAGAATTAAGATTATATTAACATGTATTTAATGTATCATTTTTTATTTCATTTGAATATCAATACATTTATTAACAATTCTTAAGCATACAACTATGGTGTCGTAAATCGCAAGAAATGTCTTAACATTAAATTCCTAAAATTACTTTCCCGAAGTGAACTTCGATAAACCTTCCAGCAAACTGACATATGCAGTGTGTTCATAAGATGTACTTAAATCAATTAGCTTATCTGCAAATTCATTCGAAATGCCTTTCTCCTCAAGATAGTTCATCAGTAGATCGTATAAATACTGCAAAGTAAACAATGGCTCAATTATCTGATTTATCCTATTAATAAAAAAACTGAATACGTATAATTATAAATGGCTATGGAAATGTCACAATTAATATTATTAAAATAAAGACAATTAATGAAAGATATTAATAGCAATTGAAGAGTTAAGATAAAGCATACATGTAATTGTTATTTCAATATATCATGACAAGAAATGATCTCTAGCTTTGATCTCTAACTTTATTAAGAGTATAATCTATTATTTAAAGATTTATAAACAAAGCAATTGTTATATAGGGCGCTTTGTATTCAACATTGATTCAAAATATTAAATATTTATTATTACGTAAGTTTATATTATTTATTAAGATTATTATTAAGATTAATTATTAATGTGTATTTAATTATTCATAACAATTATTTTTAAATATAAATCTCATAATAAAGAATAGATGTCTCATATTAGAGTAATAGTACTTACACCATCAAGAATTTCACCAGCTACAGAGTACACTCTCTCACTATGTTCTCCCTCGTACAATGTGATTTCATCGATGCCAAATATATCGTCTGTAATAAAATACATATTTATATAAAAATATATAAGAACATTAAAAAACCAAGAAAATTAGGAAACATATACATATAATGAATTAAAAGTGTCACACTTTCAAATTTTCATCAATGATATCATGGACACAATGTATATAGATGAAAGTGTTTTTATATACCAAAGAATAATTATCAAGATAACTAAAACAGAAGTCATCCTGTACTCAACACTTTGGAATAAAGAAGTTATTACAGCAGATGTACATACTGTAGCTATCATCAGCACCTGACGCGCCAGGTTGGTTGTTAAAGGAACATGTGAAGCCCAAAGTCCGATTGTCTCTAATTATATCTACTGTGAATGTCGGCTTGCTCTTCATTTCACCAATCTCCACATCATCTTGACGAGGATCAACATCTGCTTCAGCATCGGCATCCACCGTATGGTTTACATTAAAGGAAATACGAATACTGAGGAGAAATATAGATTAAATGAATCTATATCTCAAATCTAAAATATATATCAAATATAGTAAAAAGAATCTTACGTATCAGTGTCTTCTTTTTTTTCTAGATTAACCTCCGCACCATTAAGGGATACTGTGAATCCATCTAAAGTAGTTGGGATTGTTTTTAACTTCTGTGCCTTTTTCTCCGCTACTATTTCCTCCGCAAGAAATTCCACTAATTCCTTCTCCGCTGATAAAACAAAAAGAACATAACTAATAAAAAATTAATAAGAATATCCATTTCTGTGATCAATATATGAACATCGTGTAACAAAATTTAGATATTTCTGTATTAAACAAAATAAATATAAACTTATTGGTACAATTTCAATCGTACTTAAACATGATTAAATTTTTTAAGCGCACAAAGCAAATTTGCATTTTCAAAATAATGCAAGAAACTTAGAAATACATTCAAGAAACTAACCAACACTTACAAATGTATTAAAAAAAACAGTAAATATTACATTACAAAAATTTTAATTATGGGTTCATTCTAAGAAAATATAAAGAATTAATTCATTTGCCCTTAATTAAATTTATTAATCATTGATCGATTCATGTCATGAGTTTATCGATCTTGATCAACTTACACATTTTACTTACACATTGTAAGCTAAACGGTTTTATTCGCAACGCGGTAAATATGGGCGACCGTCCGCGAGTCCGATCGGATCTCAAAGATCCTTCGATTAATGTACGATTTATTCGACGACATCTCGTCGTAGACAAGTCAATACCTTTTGTGTGCGATCTGCCGTAGCATCTGCGGGCGTGGAAGTCGTGCAACTTGAACGAGGAGACGAACGGCGTGACTTCGGCGGTTCGCCGACTCTCGCACATGTTCCACAAGGCTCTGGCGGGTTGACCGGTGGACGACGACGACTTCGTCGACGACGACTTGAGCATGCCGCGTAGAGCCGAGGCGCGTACCGCGCTCCTCACGATGCCGTTCATGTTGATGGGAAATCGAACGCAATGACGATATGATAAATGATGCGATTAGACACGATCAAACAATAGGAGAGAGAACGCGGGACTCGGCTTCGGCACAGAGAGAGTAAAATGATTGCGTCACGCGGCTGCTCGATTTCCGGTTCGGCAATTTTCAGCGGCATGCGCAGCTTCCGGCACGGCAATGCCTTCTATTCGAGCGGATTTGCATGAAGTGCGCTGCGTGCGCTATGAAAGTTTCAAAGCGATTAGCCAATCACAGAGAGCTTTCCAACAAAAAACGTACATAAACACAAATGTCACATGATTGGTTCTGTCAAAAAGAAAACTTCCCGGAATTTTATAAATTTTCTATTCGATAGCAATGTCCGATAAACATGTAGTACGACAAATATAATATTCTTAAAGCCGGTATCATACACACGCACACGCCCGTGACTCATCATATTACATATACAGGGTGTCCGGTAATTTTTGACACACTTGAAGTGTGAAGGTAGATTGGGTCAAATTGGAAAGAAAAGTCCTGTATCATTTTTTTATATAACGCTTAATAAAGGAGTTATTGTTGAGTAAAGTCTGGCTTAAGATCCCATTCAACCAATGAAATGGCCGCATAGTATCTTAAGATCGTACTTAAGACGATCTTGAATATAAGAACGGACTATGAATACCGGCCTAGGTGAGCCGCGCGCCTGGTACATCAACCTACAGATTATGCTTGCGTGATAGTAGACTGGCACCGAAATTTTGATGGACATCTTTACGTTTCGATTTCCAAAAACAATATGCTGGACCTTTATAAGCAGATGTTTGAATTGCCGTTGAATCATAATGTCGTAATCGTGATTTTATAAAGCAACAAAGATTTACATAATTACATAATTCTTACCGAAAATAATAAAATATGTTACGTGGAAGAAGGTATGAATATCATTAGATACATCATTATTTAAAATTATATTTGTATATTCTACGAGCTCATCTCTTTTTTTTGTATACAAAATAAAATTATATTTTATTTTGTTCCTTTTTTCATTTTAATTTTTAATAGTTATTTTAGTTATTATCTTATCTATTATTTTATTTTATTTGTTATTTTGTTTAGTTATCATAAATTTGTTTTCTATTTGCATTTTTTATTTTAGATATACATATACAATATATATACAATACATACATGTAAATATGTATATATGTATATTTTATCTTTGATTGTAGTGTTTTCTCCTTATATTTGGCGCAATCCATTGACATTATCACTTTTGTAGATACATTATACATTACGATCTATAATATTTAACGCTATTGAGCGAATCATCCATCAAAATAGTGCACATATTCCGCCGGACAAAAATATCCTAAATATTTTATATTCTCTCCATCACCCGTTAAAAATTGGCATTCCATGTTATTATGATGCGATAAACATTGGAGGAATTGACAAGTAAATTTCTGGAAAATATAAAGCTCATGTATGAAACTGTATGATGCTAACATGGGGCCTCTGGTGGCTCAGTGCGTAGCGCGCCTGACTCACATCCCGGTGATTTCGGGTTCGATTCCCGACTCGACCCTGGCCTGCGCTTTCCCATTTTTCCTAATTTTAAAACTTAAACAATGATCTTACTACTGGATAGCTTGGTGAATATTGGCATTCTGTTGACCTGCTGCTAACTGAAACGATAGTAACTACATTTACGTAACTAAGTCGTTCCGAACGAAGAAAACTTGCGTACACTTCCATCTTAGCTTTGTGAGCCGAGAAGCGTTGTTCCTCAAATTCCTTGATGTGTTAT